AGCAAAGGACTTCAACGCCGCCGTCCACACCTGTAGACGCTGAGGGCGAGAAAGCGCCTCTTCTGAAGAAGGAAGGCTCGGCCGTAACTGCGAAGGCACTGTTGACGCGCTTGTCACTGATACATTTTCTTTTCCTGTTCTTTTTCTCCGGAATGGAGTTCACCCTCACGTTTCTGACACATGACCGATTCAACTTTACCCACGGAGAGCAAGGACGATATCTCGGCTACATAGGGATTGTAACAGCTTTGGTTCAAGGAGGATACGTACGGCGGGTGGCCCATAAGTCCGTACCCGAAAAGATGCTTGTGGTTCAGGGAATCTTTTCATGCTTCATTGGGCTTGCAATACTGGGTTCCCTTGCGAACACGCGAGCATGGCTCTTCATCGGTGCGACATTTCTCGCGTTCACCAGTGGCACCGTCGTTACAAGTCTCACAAGCCTGGCCAGTCTGGTTGGAGGTGCACCACATAACGGGGACGAATTGCGGCAAGGCAAAGTTCTTGGCGAGTTCCGATCGCTGGGCCAACTCGGTAGATCGATCGGGCCATTGGTAGCATGCTCTGGCTACTGGATACTCGGAAGTCAAGCAGCTTACACCATCTATGCTGCATTAATGGCTTTGCTGGCCATTTTCGTTATCGCCATCATACCAAAAACAGCGGCAAAGCACAAGAAGGAATAGTCCAATAAAGGCAGAAAATTTTGAATTTCGGAAGTTGGTACTGTAATTTAAAAATGTCTTCCGCCATGGACATTGACGAGGCCCCCCAAGTTGACGATGCCAACGCGGATGCCACTACCAAAGGCAAAGGGAAAGATTCCGGGAAAAAGCGTTTTGAAGTGAAGAAGGTTAGCAAGTCGAGCATTCGTCATGCTTCGAGTGGCGCATTTGATGACGCATACATTTTATGGTACAGTGGAATGCGGTCGCACTGTGGTCTTGGGGTAAGCCAAGGCTGATGAAGCTTCGCTGATGAGGTCAGATATTGTCGTGGACAACTGTGCAATTTGCAGAAACCACATCATGGACCTTTGTATGTACATGCTGGAATCGATGAGCATTCACATGCCCAACGGACACAACTGACACATTCCTTTTATATTTAAAGGCATCGAATGCCAAGCTAACCAGGCGTCGGCAACGAGTGAGGAATGTACGGTTGCTTGGGGCGGTTGCAAGTAAGTAGATTCGGATATTTCGTTCTAATGTTTGTGCAGTGTAGGTTATTTGAGTTCACGATATGGACATGGTCACATTCTAATCGCTTTTGCTAATGCTGGAACTCTTGTAGCATGCTTTCCACTTCCATTGCATAAAGAGATGGCTGAAGACCAGAGAAGTATGCCCGTTGGACAGCCGAGAATGGGTACTCCAAAAGGTGAGCCAATTGAGTCTTCGGCATTTTCGTATACTCTTCCACTCTCCAGGTACTGACGTCTCGTCAGGTTGGACTCTAACAGTGTACCACATCATCAAGAACGCTGTAAATTTCAACGCCTCAGTCATGCAATTCTTTCTCTGGCCAATGCTTTAGGCAGCCTGTCAAATATATCCATGCACCTAATGTCTCGTTACCTGTATGTTGACTCCGCGCAGTTGTTGTGCAAAAACCGTCCGAAATTTTGAGCCAGTACCAAAAGTGGAACCAAACAAAGGGTAGGTCGATTATCGACTCCGGACCTTGACTTTCTGCGGGTCTCCCCCGTTATCAGTACGCCTGAAGCACCGAAAAGTCCAGTGAGGTCGGCTGGACTGATGGACCTTCGAGAAATGCCCTTGGTTTCTCCCTCAGCGGCAGAGTCTGGCGGTCTTGACAGGTCTCCATCAAAGGAACCGCGAAGTCAAAGACCACCTCTGGCCGAGCCTATTCGAACCTCACAAGAGGAAGGGAGGCCTGCAACATCCAGTCAATCGCCGGCTGGAAGCCCTTTTTGGAGCAGGGTTTTCCCCTGGTCCAGTACTTCATCCGTCGGACGTCTGAGTGAAGGAGAGTATTCTTTGGAACCTTACGTTGGTGAGAAACAGGTAAACAGTGCAGGTTAGCTCAGCCGCTGAGATTGTAGGATTCCGCACATACAACACCAGCATCGGTGAAGCGCGCCTTTTCAGCAAACTCACTGAAGTCACGCTACCAAGAGGGAGGCACCGAGATCGACAGCGAAACGCTCGGTACGAGGCGAAGGAGTGTTATCAGTTTGGGTAGTGCCAGATCATCGAAAGCGGGCTTAGGAAAGGGCTTTTGGAAAAGTCCAGGATCCTATGAAGGCAGCGGAGCAGCAGAGGGAGCTGTGGAGGAAAGCAACGGAACTCCCACAAGAGTGCCCGAAAACAAACGCCGCTCCTCATTTGATCTGCTTATCTCGGAATCCGGGTTGTCCAATGCGACGAGGTTCACTCTGGAGAAATTTCTGAGCTCCCCATCTCGGAGAAGCGGGCGATCGCCACAAACTGAGCAAACATTCACACCACTCATCAAGACATCCTCTGCGTCAAGTCCAGTCACTTCTGAACCAACTTTATTGGACACAACTCCAGTGAGCAACCGCGGATTTCATTTGGACGAAGATACTCCTACTGATAACCGGGGCGGGATGACGAAGACCCCAATGCTGACCCCGCTTGCCAACCCTCCCCCCTTGGCCCTTTCTGCAGAAGCTGATGAGATCTCAAGTCAAAGGAACACGCCGCTAGTGGCCCAGATTCAGGTGTTTGCGGAGACGGAGGTTCCTAAAGCATTCGATGAGGCTACGGACGATAAATTGATAGATGCCATTGCTTCCCGGTCTTCACTTCGCAATCCATCGAACGAGTCTTTCTTTTTGGACGGCTCGGATCTTTCTGTTGATTTAATGGCCGAAAGCGCCCCTACCGCGATCTCTACCTCATCGTCAGCTTACTTTACAACCTCCACGTCACTCGATACTTTTAAAGACGCCGCGTCGATTCTATCTGAAGAAACGAAGCCCAAGTCTGCCGTAAAGAAAGATACCGATATCGATCTGTTGAGTCTGGACCGTTCAAGAAGCCCGACGCCGTTCAGACAACGCGGCTCGTCTTCTCATCGGCTTACGATCGGTGGACGTGAGTTGCCAGAGGTCAAGCAAGGGTTCCAGCTTGGCCCACTCAAACCCTTCAGTTTAGACGAGATTTTGGATTCTAGGAGTGCCACACGAGGAGGCGATTCCGACGACGAAAGCTTTTCCGAGAAACGAGGGCAGTCGAAAAGCACACCGATACCTGCAGGAGGCGCGACCGATGCTCTGTCCTCCGGGGAAAAAGAGATTGACCCTAATGCCTCAATATGGATCATGGCTTTCGATTCGCCGCCAAAAGGGAAGGATGGTAGCAATCGGACGAATGCAAAGAAAGCGGTTCTGGGCATACCTCCGCTTGCGAAACCCAATATATTGGACGAGCTTGAAAATGAACGCCAAAGTCCAAAGACAGTTTCGCTTTTGGATATGCAAAATGTATTCTCCACGCCCCAGAGCATTCCGAAGTACACCGAGAGAGATATGGAACGTCTGAAGACGCAACTCACCGCGCAGGTCAGTCCCGCTCTCACCCTGTTTAGTTACTGAGTACCCTGTCCTGCAGTTTGAAAAGGAGTTTGAGATCATTCAGCTTGAAATTCAAGAGCTGGAGAGCAAACGGGCGCATGCGCTTGAATCCAACCGCAAGTTACAAGCGACTTTGGCCGACTGGGAGAAGTTTATTCGGGAGACAATCGGTTGGTGCCTGCCCTAGCATGTCTCTGACGCCACTGTAAAGCGCAAAAGGAACAGACCGAATTGAAAGCACGCGCAGAGATAAGCAAGCTTACAAGCAATCTTGAAAAAGTAGCCCTGGATCGGGAGAGGCTTGCAGAGGAGTGCAACTCTTTGCAGTCCAAATTACAGAAGGCCAAGGTTGATGCTGAGGCCGAAAAGGAGGCAAGCTTCATGTTGAGCTTAACACCTTTGTCTTTTTTTGAAGTTTGTGTTGCTTACGCGGTTTGACACCACAGGGCTACCAGGCGGAAATCAAAAAAATGGCGAACCTTTTGAAGGAGTCCGAAGAGCGGTTCAATGCATTACGAGATCACGCAGAACAAAAATTAGAAAGGTTGTCGATGATTGTTTTGTTTCAGTCACCTCGGTTTTCAGTGGTCAGTCTTACTGACATTTCTCTCCCCTCGACATCTCGACAGTGCGAACATAGAGATTTCAAAGGTTAGAGCTACGTCGGAGAAGGATATAACCGCACTGCGAGCCAAAGTCTCGCGGGCCGAACTGCAAATTTCAACGCTTGAACGTACAGTTCAGAGCAAGACGCAGGAGAACGTTGAGCTGTCCAAGATATGCGACACCTTGCTTCTGCAGGTTCGGACAACCCTTGTTGCTGTAGCCTCTGACGTCCTTTGTTGAAATAGATCGAGCGCGGTCGAACCTGAAGGTTTGGATAACATAACAACTTCTACTCAAGACCGTGTTTCGGGAGGCGCGGTGGCCGGCGACCAACCTGCATCCCCAAAGACTCTCTATCCATACCACAAAAAGATAGATAAACATAGTAAAGGAAACAATGGTATAATAACTTCTGAAGAGGACGATGGTCCACCAGGTCCGAAACGCGTTCTTCCTGCGTCGATCCTGCGCGCAAGTCCGGCGTCGCTATATTCCGGACAATTGTCAACTCCCACAGTTTCGCAACAGATTCTGCACACACGTGCCGACGACCATCTTCAGAAGTATCCTCGTTGCTGGCAAAAAAAGTAAGGGGCCAGCGTGTAGCTTACCTTTTTGCCGTATGCGCGTTCGACAAGGGTAAATAATGTTAAACCCGGAATGCGATACTAGGGCGCCAACTGGAGTAGAGTGTATTTGAAAGAGAAGTTTAGAGACTTCCTTGTCTGATTTCCCTCAAATGACTCTCGTCGTCACAGAAAATCCCGGTTCGCTGGCGGAATAATCAATCAAAGTACAGGTCCTTCAGAGCCCACTGTGTTCCTGCTTATGCTCTGTGCCAGAGTCGAACTGGCGGCCTTAGGATGTCACACATGGTATGAGACCTACGCGATAACCAACTACGCCAACAGAGCTTGTACGTTTCAGGGGCATATCAAAACTACTTGTGCTGTCAAAAAATTCGATACGGGAACTGGCGGCTTCCAATCTGTCCTACAGGTCTGCAAGTCCAAGAGCTATCATCATGTATGGGCTTGCGATGTGGATTTCGCAAAATGCCAGAATTGCTTTCAACGCTGCGGGAGCCGAACTCGCGGCAGCAGAGCTAACGCTTTATGCTTGGTTGTGCGAGTGTCCTCTCAATTTCCGGGTTGTGCAATCCTTCATTCAGAGTCGTTGCTCGTAGATGCAAATGAACAGAAAACCAAGAACGACTATGCATGCACAGAAGTTATTATGATGCACTAGGTTTATTTGCAAAATTGAGGCAACGAAAAGCCCGAAGCTGCAACGCAAAGACAGCGGAGAACGAAAAACAAAAGAGGAAAAAATAAACAGAAGAGAAAAGAGTCAACGTTTAGTCGACCTCCTCCATGGCGGTTGCAGCGGCCACGTCCTCAAGCGGAGGCACGTCATCCTCCACGGTCGAGGAAGCGCCGGCATCCTCCTCGTCGATCGAAAGGCCGAGCTTGATCATGCGGTGAATGCGGGAAGCGAAGCCAGAGGGGTCCTCAAGCGAGAAGCCGGATGACAGGAGGGCAGTCTCGAAGAGCAGGAAGGTGAGGTCCTTAACGGTCTTGTCGTTCTTGTCAGAGGTAACCTTCTCCTTGAGGGCCTTGACGATGGAGTGGTCGGGGTTAATTTCGAGAGTCTTCTTCGAGGCCATGTAGGAGGACATCGAAGAGTCGCGGAGGGCCTGCGCCTTCATGATACGCTCCATGTTGGCGGACCAGCCGTACTGACCGGTGACGAGGACGCAGGGGGAGTTGAGAATACGGTGGGAGATGACGACCTTCTCCACCTTGTCACCAAGGATCTCCTTGATCTGCTTGGTAAGATCCTCGTAGGCGGCCTTAGCCTCCTCCTTCTTCTGCTTCTCCTCCTCGTCCTCCTCGAGCTCAAGACCCTCCTTGGTGGCGGACATGAGCTTCTTGCCGTCGTACTCCTTGAGCTGCTGGACGGCGTACTCTGTAAGAAAGTCGTTAGATTTCCTGAAGTGGGGGTAGACTGAGGAACAACAGGAAATAATGATACAAACCATCGATGGGGTCAACCATGAAGAGGACCTCGAAGCCCTTCTTCTTCAGGACCTCAAGGAAGGGCGAGTTCTCGACAGCGGCACGCGACTCGCCGGTGATGTAGTAGATGTTCTTCTGCTTCTCGGGCATGCGGGTGACGTAGTCCTTGAGGGAGGTCATGTCCTCACCAGACTTGGTCGAGTGGTAGCGGAGGAGGTCGGCAATCTTGTTGCGATTGGTAGAGTCCTCGTGGATGCCGAGCTTCAGATTCTTCGAGAAGGCCTCGTAGAACTTGTTGAAGTTGTCCTTGTCCTCGGCAATCTCGGCGAACATCTCAAGGCACTTCTTGACAAGGTTCTTCCTGATGACCTTCAGGATCTTGTTCTGCTGGAGCATCTCACGGGAGATGTTGAGGGGAAGGTCCTCAGAGTCGACGATACCCTTGACGAAGTTGAGCCACTCGGGAATGAGCTCCTCGCAGTCGTCCATGATGAAGACGCGGCGGACGTAGAGCTTGATGTTGTTGCGCTTCTTCTTGGTCTCGAACATGTCGAAGGGAGCGCGGCGGGGGACGAAGAGGATGGCGCGGAACTCGAGCTGACCCTCGACGGAGAAGTGCTTAACAGCAAGATGGTCCTCCCAGTCGTTGGTGAGGGCCTTGTAGAACGAGCCGTACTCCTCGTTGGTGATCTCCTCGGGGTTGCGGGTCCAGATGGGCTTGGTCTGTGTAACCAGAGAGTGGGGGGTTAGCTTTGAGCAACAAGTGGGATCAGAGGATAAAAGAAACTGACCTTGTTAAGCTCCTCGAGCTCCTTGGTCATCTCCTTGACCGTCTTCTTCTTCTTGGGCTTCTCCTCATCCTCAACCTCCTCGATCTTGGGCTTGTCCTCCTCGTCCTTCTTCTCCTCCTCCTCAGCATCCTCGTCGTCGACCTCCTTCGAGACCTCCTTGGTGACGGTGAGCTGGATGGGGTAGCCGATGAACTCGGAGTGCTTCTTGATGATCTCCTTGATCTTCTTCTCCTCGAGATACTCGGTCTGGTCCTCCTTCATGAAGAGACGGATGATGGTACCACGGCCGATCTGCTCGTTGACGGTGTCGAGGGCTGTGAAGAGGTATTGTTAGCAACTGAAAAAGTCAAGACAGGATTTCTGATGAGGTACTCACTGATTGTGAAGGAACCGCCGGCAGCAGACTCCCAGATGTACTGCTCATCATCGTTGTGCTTGGTGATGACCTGGACCTTGTCGGCGACAAGGTAGGCCGAGTAGAAACCGACACCGAACTGGCCGATCATGGAAATGTCGGCACCGGTGTTGAGGGCCTCCATGAAGGCCTTGGTACCGGACTTGGCGATGGTACCGAGGTTGTTGACGAGGTCGGTCTTGGTCATACCAATACCCGAGTCACGGATCTCAAGAACCTTGTTCTCGTTGTCGGGGGTGATGCGGATAAAGAGCTCCTTCTCCGAGTCGAGCTTGCTGGCGTCGGTGAGCGACTCGTAGCGAATCTTGTCGAGGGCATCGGAGGCGTTGGACACCAACTCACGAAGGAAAATTTCCTTGTTACTAAATAACGTGACGAGATGGTAAGAAACATGTCGCGAGCAAGTGCAAAGGCTAAATTTACTTACGAGTAGAAGGTGTTGATGATAAGGGACATCAGCTGAGAAATCTCAGCCTGGAAGGCGAAGGTCTCGGTGTTTTCGGCCATGGCTGAGAGGGAACGGAAGAAGTGCATTTAGCATGCCAATCCAGTGTCAAACTCGAAGCAGCAAGTCAAAGTCCACCACATCCTCCGCCGCGCATGCGGAGTCATCCTCCACTCTCAGAGCAAGCCGTGACGGCGCAGCATACGGATGAGCATGCATACAATACTCACCTAATTACTTTGACTGTACAAGAAGGGGTGGAAGGGGGGATCAAGAGGTGCGTGTACGAGGTATCCGCTGCCGGAGAGGACTTCGGAGAAAAAAAAAAAGACCACGAAGAATTCACGGACAAAAAGGGGAGGGTGAGAAGGGAAGGGGGGCCGATTTAAATGCCCCCCTGCAAGAGCAAATGGAAAACGAGAGAAGGACTGTGTTTTGATGGAAAGAAAGACAAAAAAAAAAAAAAAAAAAACAAAATCCCAGGGGTGCACTGCATGCACTTTCTTTTTTGTTCCGACTCCGCCCCTCCTCGAGAGGCTGGCAAAGCTTTTTCTTCCTCTCTTCCTCCTTCTCTTCTCCTCCTCTCTCCTCTCTTTGGGATTCCTGCCACCTGGCACACACTGGCAGGGCTGGCTTCCTGATCTTCCATTGGCTCTGCTCTGTTCGCAGTCGGTGTGGCAGGGATGGGCAGGGATGGGCAGGGATGGGCAGGGATGGCGACAAGGCCCGCTCTTCCACTCTCTTCTGCCTTGTTCCAAAACCTTCGATGTTGTTCTCTGACTTTCCTCTCCCCCCTTCACCCAAACTTTTGAAACTCCGACGCTTCAAAAAGAGAGTGCCACACAATTGTCCGAAGCTCGCTCCTTGCAGGGTCCAACTGTCCGAACTGTAGTGGCCCAAGCGCTCGGTGTTGATCAATTTAACGCACCTGCAACAACTTGCATATCGAAATCACAGGAGTGCATAGGTCGAGCAAAGGAACGGGACAAAGGATATTGTTGGCATTTATTACAGCGGACCTGCAGGGGAAGCGGTGCTTCTGACTCCATTTGAAACGAGCCCCCTGGAAGCTGGACTGAAACACTACAGCTCGTCACATCGCCCACATGGTCAAATGCATTTCTCAAAACGCTGGCGCGGAATGAAAAGCATAGATTTGATGCTGTCCTTGGATTCCCCCCCTCCCCCGGCCAGAGACGAGAAGCTCAGACTTCCACAAAACCCCTTGCTTAAAGGAGCAACTTTCAGACGCATCATTTTCATTCCAATTCCCACTGCTGCTGTTGCTGTGTCGGTCCACGTCCCTCGATATTTCCTAGAGACCAAAGCCTCTCAACTTTGCAACACGCTTCCTTTCGCATTCTCAGCGTCTGTTGCTTAATGTGGGCTCATTCGAAGCAAATCGATCTCCTTTAGTCCTTCTTCTCGTCGCCACCTCAAGCTCAGCTTGCCACGTCAGCTGAAAATTGCCAACTTTTCATCGGTGTCACCGAGATTTTGGATCGCAAAAATCGAAAACCATGCTGCCGTGGAAGCGGTTGCTTTCCGTCGCTACTCATGAGCATCTGGTGGAGTACCTCGTCAACAACTCTATATTCCGGAGAATGGCGCTGAGAACACATATCGAGATCACAAAGATGTCTGGGCAACGTAGGTGTCATGGCCGAGTCGTTCTGTGTGATGGAGTGCGGAAAAAAAACAGACTGCCGGACAATCGATTCCTGCGGTCGAACGAGTGACAGTATTAGAGGCAGGCAGGCTAACCCATTCCCTTTTCCGATGACCTCATCACATTAGCCGTGAAGCATTTGGAGGACACCATGACCGACTTGAAGAACGATGTTGAGACGAAGGAAGGGGTGAGCATCATGCAAACCTTCAACAGAAAACATGTCTGTACCAATTTGCGCTAATCGTCAATCCCCTACCGCAGTTCGTCTCCCTCTTCTTCAAGGAGTTGAAAGAAGGCTTCAACAAGGTGTTCGGTCTCGGCAACCGAAGATGAAGCGACAGCAATGACGCTTTACCATCCATCACCGCAAGCACCGCAGACAATCGAAACATTACGCTTTCAACGATATCGCATTCACCCTCACCTGTTTCAATATTCATGTTCTCTCTCTATATATCGTCCTGTAACATTCAGATGCTGTAATCACTAGTCAGTCCTATGAACCTCATGTTTGTGTAACCATCTCGATCGTGTATTGTCCCTGTCGATGGGTGACCTCGTGGCGGCGGTCCG